ATCTCGGCCTCTGCACACTTGGCCCCACTGACATACAAGGAGAGTGGTTGGGGGCTGGACTCAGAAGGTGGCAAGAAAGCACATGAGGGGACTCAGTTAAAACGACTGCTTGGCGCGGCTGGAGCGATGATAGCACAGCGGGTAGGGCGTTTGCTTTGCACGCGGCCAACCGGGGTTCGATTCCCAGCATCCCATAGGGTCCCCTGAGCACTGCCAGGAGTCATTCCTGAGTGCAGAGCCAGAAGGAACCCCTGACCCAAAAAGAAAAAAAAAATAAAGAAAAGGAAAAAAAAAAGTGGCAAGGGGTGAGGAGGAAGCAGCAAGTAGCTAGGACTTCAAATGCCTGCCCAGCAGGCATAGGGTCATGAGTTCGATCCCTGATGCTACCACATGTGCACGGGTGGAATCCTGGCAGCTATGCTGAGCTTCCTGGCAGTGCCAACACTGTCTGGTCACCACAACTAAGGGATGCGACAGGGAAGGCGCTTGCCTTGCTCGGGCCAGACCCAGCTTCTGGCCTCTCTGGAGTCTCCCAAGCCTCACCAAGGAGTGATTCCCTGAGCACAGAGCTAGGAGTCAGCCCTGAGCACTGCTGGGTGTGTCCCTCACCCTCCAAAAAAGCAGCACATGAATCGGATATTAACTCACTTCTGCTTAAAACTTTGTTCTTTTTTGGGGGGGGGGCACACCTGGTGGAGACTACTGGCTCTGAGCTCAGGGATCACTCCTGGTAGTGCTACCGGACTCGAACCCAGGTTGGCTATGGAAACAGCTGGCTTCTTCCCATCTCGCAGGCCAAGGAAGAGCTCCTTGCTCTGGGGTTGGGCTCTGCGGGCTCGAACTCTGAGGCCCTTCCCCAAACACGGGGGCTCCCGGCCCCCAAGCGCTCTGCTGGTGGGTGCCTGGGATCTCTGCCAGGTCCAAGAGGCGCTGTATGGGGGGGGTCAGGGGGAGCATACTGGAACCCTAAGATCTAGAGGAGGGAGGCTGTGCGGTGCGTGGGCCACGGGTTGTTATTAAAAGGACCCAGACACATGAGCTCTCACTCTCAGCTGCCCCCCCCCAAGAAGCCTGGGCCTGGGGACCCCAAGACCCTGGGCTGGGGCTGGGTCTAGCAGGGACCTTCAGATCATAGGCTGGAGCTGGGTCCTGCAGGGTCCCCCCGGGGCGGGGGCTGGAGCTGAGTCCTGCAGGGCCCCCCAGGAAGGGGTTTGGAGCTGGGTCTAGCAGGGACTTCCCTGGCCGGGGGCTGGATCTGAGTCCTGCAGGGCCCCCGGGGCCGGGGTCTGGAGCTGAGTCCTGCAGGGCCCCCACCCCGGGCCGGGGTCTGGAGCTGAGTCCTGCAGGGACTCCCCAGGAAGAGGGCTGGAGCTGGGTCTGGCAGGGACTTCCCAGGCCGGGAGCTGGAGCTGAGTCCTGCAGGGCCCCCCGGGCCGGGGGCTGGGGCGCCGATCGCCTCCCGCGGGCAGGGAACCCACCCACCACCCCATCTTACCGGGCCGGGCGCCCAGACCACCACCACCACCGCCGCCGCCGCCGCCGCCGCCGCCGCCGCCGCCGCCGCCGCCGCCGCCGCGTTCGGGCCGGGAACGCGGAGACAAGGGCCGGCGCCGATTGGCTGCGCCCCGTCACGTGACCGCAACGCTCCGCCGGCGCCAATTTCAAACAGCGGAACAAACTGAAAGCTCAGGCGGCCGACCCCACCCCCGGCCCCCGGCCCGGGACCCCCGCCCCTCCCGGGATCCCCCGGGGCTCCCTCCGCGCCCGCAGCGCCGGGGCGGCCGGCCGGGCCCGCCCGGAGGAAGCGCGGAGCCCGCCGGGCAGCTGCAGAGCCGAGGTGAGCCCGGGCCCGGCCGTGCACGGCAGGGGCGAGGTCGGGGCCGGGGGCGCGGCGGGGGCCGGGGCAGGCTGGGGGTGGGGGGTCCCCGAAGGGGCGTCCGCGGGCGGGGCTGCGAGCAATGTTGCAATTGTTTGTTTTTTTTTTCCTCCTGCCTGCCTGGGCCAAGCTTCTCTCTCCACGCGGAGCCGGGCCCCCTGCACCCCACCCGCTCCCGGGGAGTTGGGGGTGGGGGTCAGTAGTGGGGGTCAGCAGCCCCCACTGGCGCCGGCAGGAGCACTGCATTCGTGGTGCATCCAGGCAAAGCCTCTGCCCCTCGGTGCTGGCTCCCCACCCCCACCCCAAGACTGTCTGGGGCCCCTGAGCGCTTTTCCCGGGGTTCCTCTGGCTCCGGGGCACCCTGTCCGGTTCCTAGGTCAGGGGGACGGACGGGCTCAGAATGGTCACTCCGGAGGCCCCTGGGCTAGAGAGCGTTGGGGGAGACAGATGCGAGTGTAGCCGGGAAGATGGAGTCATGATCAGGAAACTCAGCTGGGGCAGTGAACCAGAACATAGTGGCCTGCCCTCGCTTGAGGGGGCAGGGAGACCCCCCCCCCCAAGAGGCGGAACTAAAACTGAGGTTGGAACCGGAAAAGGGGGCGGCCGGTGCAGAGGAACCCAGACCCGGCCAGATGGCAAAGGGCCAGGCGGGTGAGGCCCATTCGGAGGGTGAAAGCTGGTACCCACCCCATCTGTTTCTAACCACCAGACCGAGAGCGGGAGAGTAGTTTCTGTAGCCAGAGAAAGCAACAAAGTACAGCTTTGGACAGAGGGAAGCTTCCCCCCCAAACTTTACCAGTGAGCACCAGTGAGGATGGAGCCCGTAACTGCATTCTGTGAGTCCAGACAGGAGGGTAGGGTTGGTTCTGAAAGAAATGGAAGGCCCGGGAGAGAGCATAAGGCTCAAGGAGCCTGCCCCAGCACGCGGCGGATGTCACCGCTATCCTGGTTCTAATCCTGGCACCGCCTATGGGCCCCCCCCCCCCCCGCCCGGCCCCCCAGCCATGCCAAGAGTGACCCCTGATGGGAGCTGCAGACATAGCACAGCAGGGAGGGCACTTGACTTGCATGCGGCCCACCCAGGTTCTATTCCCGGCATCCCATAGGGCTTCCCCAGTATGATCCCTGAGCACAGAGCCAGGCGGAAGCCCTGAGCACCACCAGGTGTCACCCCCAGACAGACAGAAAAAATCAGAGTGACCGCTGGGAGCGGGGAGCGCCCACTCTGCTTTTCCTCGCCCTGCCTGGTGACAACAGCACGGGTGGCATTGGTGCAGGCGGAGGGTGTTCAGCCACGGTGCCACTGACCAGCCTGTCGGGCTGCCTCTGTGGGCACTGACTGGTTTCTAAGGACCCACCTAGAACAGACAGTACATTGACGTTGTGTCTTTCCCCAACTCCTAACTCCCCAACACCCCCTCCCAGATCCCCCCCAGACCCATCCTGCAGCAAGGTGATCCTAGGCAATCATGGGCATGTCCTGTTTGGGTCACTCTCCCATTTGTTTCTTTTTTTTTTTTTCCTTTTTGGGTCACACCCGGCAATGCACAGGGTTCCTCCTGAGGCTCTGCTCTCAGGAATTACTCTTGGCAGTGCTCGGGGGATCATATGCGATGCGGGGAATCGAACCTGGGTAGGCCGCGTGCAAGGCAGACACCTTACCTGCTGTGCTATTGCTCCAGCCCCTCCCATCTGTTTCTAGTTTTGGCTTTGGGGCATACACAGCCACTCCTGTGGCTTACTCCTGGCTCTGCACTCAGGGATCATTCCTGGCCTGGCCCAGGGGACCATATGGGGTACCGGGGATCGAACCTGAGTCAGCCAGGTGCCAGACAATGCCCTACCTGCTGGCTGTACCATCTCTCCAGTCCTCTCTCCCATTTGGTTTCTGTAGCCAAACATTCTCACCAAGTGTTTGGTTTTGGTTTTCACGGCCTGACTCGCGGACTTCAAGTTTAGGGAATTTCAGGAGTTTAAAAGTAAAGTAAAGTAAAGGCCCTCCCGTTGAGCGTCGATTTGCTCGAGCGGGCCCAGTAACGTCTCCATTGGAGACTTTGTTGTTACTGTGTCTGGCATATCGAATACTCTCGGTAGCTTGCCGGGCTCTCCGAGAGGGGCGGAGGAATCGAACTCGGGTCGGCCATGTTGGGCCGCGTGTAAGGCGAACGCCCTACCTGCTGTGCTATCGCTCCAGCCCCTTCAGGAGTTTAGCTTCATACATCCTTTTGTTTGCAGGGGACAGAGTGGGGCTCAGGGGGGTCACACATAGCAGTGTAGTGAGCTCAGGCTTACTCCTGGCTCTGTGCTCAGGGATCACTCCTGGTGGTGCTCAGGGGACCCTGTGTGGTGCTGGGGATTGAACCAGGGTTGGCCGCGTGCAAGGCCACTACCTTAACCCCTGTGGTATCTCTCTGGCCCCGTTTCACACTCTGTACCTGTGTCATTCTCACCAATCCTGCCACCAAAGTTCCATCCCACCCTCTCCCAAACGCCCCACCCCCACTTCTTTTTTATTTTTTTCCTTTTTGGGTCACGCCTGGTGATCCTCAGGGGTTACTCCTGCCTCTGCACTCAGGAATTACTCCTGGTGGTGCTCAGGGGACCCTATGGGATGCTGGGAATCGAACCCGGGTTGGCCACATGCAAGGCAAACGCCCTCCTTGCTGTGCTATCACTCCGGCCTCCACCTCCCACTTCTTAAACTCCAAGAGACCTTTTGAGTATGCATCCAATTTAAGCCCTCACCACTCTGCTGGCATTGCATTGGTTGATTTTGACTCTTTTTTTTTTTTTTTTTTTTTGCTTTTTGGGTCACACCTGGCAATGCACAGGGGTTACTCCTGGCTCTGCGCTCAGGAATTTCTCCTGGCAGTGCCCAGGGGACCATATGGGATGCTGGGAATCGAACCTGGGTTGGCCGCGTGCAAGACAAACACCCTACCCGTTGTGCTATTGCTCCAGCACCGATTTGGACTCTTTTATCAGTACAAAGTGTGCCCTTCCAGCGGTCCATCTGGGCCTGACGGACCGCTGGCTGTCCCTCAGCCTGGCCAGCCTGACCCACGGTGCTCTGTGCTTCCCAGGGCCTGTGCTTCTCAATGGAGAGTGAAAGCGCCGATTCATCATGAGAACCAGCCCCCACCGGCCACTGATTCTCAAGAGACGGAGGCTGCCCCTTCCTGTTCAAAATGCCCCAAGTGAAACGCCCCAAGAGGACCCCAAGAGGTCCCCGGCCCAGAAGGAGGCGGGGCACCCCCAGACCCCTCCGGAGGGGGCTGAGTCCGGGGCTTGCCAGTTTCCAGCCGGGATCAAGATCATCAACCACCCCACCATGCCCAACACCCAAGTGGTGGCCATCCCCAAGGATGCCAACATTCAGAGCATCATCGCGGCCCTGACCGCCAAGGGCAAGGAGAGCGGCAGCAGCGGGCCCAACAAGTTCATCCTCATCAGCTGCGGGGGCGGCGCCCCCCAGCCCGCAGGGCGCCAGCCTCAGACCTCTGCCAGCAACGAGCCCAAGATGACCCAAGTGGGCGCCGAGGCCCCGGGACTCAGGCCTGCAGTGAGGGACGGGAATCCCCTAAGGCCGCTCGCCACCCATCCGGGGCACCGATGGGAGAGCTGCGGTATGTGGGTGCGCGCCCTGTCCACTGCTGACCAGGAACCCGGCCAGTCACGCTGGACTGTCATCCACTGACGGGCAGCCAGCCGGAGCTGGGCAGAGTCCTCCTGCTTCTTCCTGAAATCTAATTTTCTTTCTTTCTTTCTTTCTTTCTTTCTTTCTTTCTTTCTTACCTCCTGATTCTTCCTGAAATCTAATTTTCTTTCTTTCTTTCTTTCTTTTTTTCTTTTTTTTCTTTTTGGGTCATACCCGGCAATGCTCAGGGGTTATTCCTGGTTCATGCACTCAGGAACTACTCCTGGCTGTGCTCAGGGGACCATATGGGATGCTGGGGATTGAACCCGGGTCGGGCTGCGTGCAAGGCAAACACCCTACCCGCTGTGCTATCACTCCAGCCCCGTCTTTCTTTCTTTCTTTCTTTCTTTCTTTCTTTCTTTCTTTCTTTCTTTCTTCTTTCTTTCTTTTTCTTTCTTTCCTTCCTTCCTTCTTTACTTCTTTCCTTCTATCTTCCTTCCTTCCTTCCTTCCTCCTTTCCTTTCTTTTCTGATTTTTGGGTAACACTCAGCAGTGCTCAGGGCTCACTCCTGGCTCTGTGTTCGGGGGTCACTCCTGGCGGTGCTTGGGGGACCCTATGGGATGGTGGGAATTGAACCTGGATTGGCCACATGCAAGGCAAAGACCTACCTGCTGTACTATACCTCTGGCCACTTCTTTTTTTTTTTTTCTTTTTGGGTCACACCAAGGCATGCTCAGGGGATACTCCTGGCTCTGCACTCAAGAATCCCTCCTGGCGGTGCTTGGGGGACCCTATGGGATGCCGGGGATCGAACCCGGGTTGGCCACGTGCAAGGCCAACACCGTATCCGCTGTGCTATTGCTCCAGCCCAAGCTCTGGCCATTTCTTTACCTATTTCTTTTTTTTTTTCCCTCCCCTTTTCTTTTTTCTCTGTTCTTTTCTCTTCTCTCCCTTCCCTCCTCCCTTCCTTCCATTCTCAGCACTGAGGACAGAACTCAGGGCTTCACATATGAAAAGCAATAATGTTCCCACTTGACCAGATCCCTGGTCCCCTCCTGAAACCCCAAACCTTCTCCTTGGGCACACTCCAGAGGGTTGCAGTTACAGCTGGGCATTTCTGTACCTTTTTCACGTCGGAGAAGGGCATTTTGCTGTTTCTGTTTCACCTCTCCAGTGACTGGAAGGAGGAAGTAGCCAACTTTCTCCACTTACTAAAGGAGAAAATAAATAAGGAGAGGAGGGAGAAGTGAGTTTCCTAAGGTTGCCTCGGTAGCTCTCTAGCTCTGCCAGAGACCAGCCTGCAATGCCACTGGAACTGCATGTTTCTCTGGCATGAGGTTTGACAGCATCCTGAGGGTGACAGGAGGAGGTTTAGCTCGTCCCTGAGAGCGTTTGGGGAGGTGGTCCCTAACCATCAACTCCTGTGGGCCTGCCGGAAGCTAAGTGGCCTCTTGAATTGCTCCCTCCCTCCAGTGGGCACGGAGGTAGCTGGCTGCGCGCTTGATCCCAGCTTGCCCAGCATCCAGTGGCATTCCGACAGAGTGGGGTCCTGCAGCGTCAAGCAGGAGATGGAAGAGAAGGAGAATCGTCACCTGGAGCCCAATCAGGTCAAGGTAAACCAGGTGGCCCCTGGGGGGTGAGTTGGGGCAGGTGCAGGGGGCAGGGGGCCTGTGAGCTTCATCTCTGGGCGTGAGTCTGGATAATTCTGGATAATAAAAAGGTGACTCGCTATTTTTTTTTTTTGCTTTGCTTTGGGTCACACCCGGCGATGCTCAGGGGTTCCTCCTGGCTCACGCACTCAGGAATTACTCCTGGCGGTGCTCGGGGGACCGTATGGGATGCTGGGAATCGAACCCAGGTTGGCCATGTACAAGGCAAACGCCCTACCCACTGTGCTAACGCTCCTATCCCGTGACCCACTTTTCTGTGTGGAACCTTCTGACATTTTCTTGCAGGCTGCTCCCTCAGACCTACTAGTAATCTGACCCTTGGTGGGGGGGATACCTGAGTGGGGTACCTGAGCAGGGTTTGATCCCCGGCACAAATTATGGTCCCTTGAGCCAACCAGGAGGGATCCCTGAGCACAGAGCCAGGAGTAAGCCCAGCACACCGCCAGTTGTGGCCTGGAAAAACCAGTCTGAAATCTGTTCCCATTTAGGGACGTGGCAGGTACTCAGGAAATGCCGAAGAGGTCTCAGTGTGAGAAATCTTTGGGGCTTAAAACAGGTTTTTCAGGGGCTGGAGAGATAGCACGGCAGGTAGGGCGTTTGCCTTGCACACAGCCAACATGGCTGACACAGATTCGATTCCCAGCATCCCATATGGTCCCCTGAGCACCGCCAGGAGTAACTCCTGAGTGCAGAGCCAGGAGTAACCCCTGTGCATTGCCAGGTGTGACCCAAAAAGCAAAAAAGGTTTTTTATTGGGCTGGAGTGAGAGTACACTGGGCAGGGCACTTGGCCTTGCGCATGGCTGCCCTGGGTTCAGTCCCCACCACTCCAGATGGCCCCCTGAGCACTGTCAGCAGGGATCCCTGAGCACCACTGGGTGTGGCCCCAAAACAAAAAAAAAGTGAAAATCAGGGACTGGAAAAATAGCTCAGCAGGGCTGAGGACATGCTTTACAGGCAGGAGGTCCTGGGTTTGATCCCTGGTACCACATGGGCCCCCTGAGCACCCGAGGAACAACTCCAAGTGCTGCTGGGTATGCTCCAGAAACCAAAAATAAAAACCCAGACGCTGGAGCAATAGCACAGCGGGTAGGGCTTTTGCCTTGCACACAGCAGACCCGGGTTCGATTCCCAGCATCCCACATGGTCCCCTGAGCACCACCAGGAGTAATTCCTGAGTGCATGAGCCAGGAGTAACTCCTGTGTATCATTGGTATGACCCAAAAAAAATAAATAAATAAAGCCCAAAACGACACGGATGTGTATGTAAGTGGAAAATCCATCTGCACGCTGAGGGGCTGTGGCCACAGGGTGGGCACTACGAGACTACCCTGCAGAGGATACAGCTCAGTACCTTAGTGTCAGTGGGCAGAGCGTTGCCTGAGACTTTGCCAAATCTATGTTGTGTGGACACCTGTCTGTGCCCGCCTCGTAGGACGGTTTCTCTCATCCAGACTCTGAGAGGAGGCAGGTTCTCATGACACCTCAAGAGTAGGAATGACCTAAGACCCAGGAGCTTTCACTCCCACGTCTGAAAAGGAAAAGGGGGGATGGTTTTAGTATCAAATGGTGCTTTACGAATCATCAATCTCAGGCAGGAGAGATGGGGAGGGCATTCGGGTCATGGTCAACCTAGCATCCCATATGGTCCCCCGAGCGCTGCCAGGAGTGATTCCTGAGTGCGGAGCAAGGAGTAACCCCCGAGCATCGCCGGGTGTGCCGCCTCCAGGAAGGAAGGGAGGGAGGGGGAAGAGAGGGAGGGAGGGAGGGAGGGAAAGGAAGGAAAGAAATCATAATCTATGCTGACTTTTATTTATTTATTTATTTTGCTTTTTGGGTCACACCCGGCATTGCACAGCGGTTACTCCTGGCTCATGCACTCCGGAATTATTCCTGGCGGTGCTCAGGGGACCATATGGGATGCCGGGAATCAAACCCGGGTCTGCTGTGTGCAAGGCAAATGCCCTACCCGCTGTGCTATGGCTCCAGCCCCTATGCAGACTTTCTTGAGAGGTTTCAACTGGGGAAAGAAGGGAGGGAGGGAGGGAGGAAGGGAGGAAGGAAGGAAGGAAGGAAGGAAGGAAGGAAGGAAGGAAGGAAGGAAGAAAGGATAGAAGGATGGAAGGATGGATCTATGCAGACACTGCACGATCCTCTGGGATCATCAAAGGTTTCCTTGGACCAGGGGGCAGCTCAGCCCCCTCACCCTAAAGAAGTAAATAAACGCCAGGTCTCTCTCTCTCTCTCTTTCTCTCTCTCTCTCTCTCTCTCTCTCTCTCTGGGGGGGGAGGTGAGCCTTTAATGATCTATTTGTTTATTTAGTTTTAGAACCACACCCAGGTATGTGGTTTTATTTTTATTTTTTTTACTTTTTTTCTTTTTCTGCTTTTTTGGGTCACACCCGGCGATGCACAGGGGTTACTCCTGGCTTTGCACTCAGGAATTACTCCTGGCGGTGCTCAGGGGACCATATGGGATGCTGGGAATCGAACCCCTGGGTCGGCCGCGTGCAAGGCAAACGCCCTACCCGCTATGCTATCACTCCAGCCCCAGCTGTGTGGTTTTAGTTTAGCTTGGGACCAAACTTGACTTAGTCCTGGCTCTGCTCAAGAATCACTCCTGGCAGGCTTGGAGTGATGCACTATGTAGGGTGCTGGGTGCAAGACAAGTGCCATGATGGCCACTATGCTAGCCAGGTAGCCTGGAGAGGAGGCCCAGAGCACCTGAGGATTCTTTTTTTTTTTTTTTTTTTTTTTTTTTTGCTTTTGGGTCATGCCCAGCGATGCACAGGGGTTACTCCTGGCTCTACACTCAGGAATTACCCCTGGCGGTGCTCAGAGGACCATGTGGGATGCTGGGGATCGAATGCCCTACCCGCTGTGCCTTACCTCTGAGCAAATTGCTCCAGCCCTGGGCCTGAAGACTCTTCTGAGACCTTCTCACCAGCCTCTCTCTCCCAACCCGCAGGTTGAAGAGGCCCCAGAAGCATCCGCATCCTGGCAGGAGTCGGTGTCCGAGCGGCCGCCCTACTCTTACATGGCCATGATCCAGTTTGCCATCAACAGCACGGAGAGGAAGCGCATGACCCTGAAAGACATCTATGCGTGGATAGAGGACCACTTCCCCTACTTCAAGCACATCGCCAAGCCAGGCTGGAAGGTGCCACGGTCCCCGACCCGGCCGCGCTCACCCTGGCCACCAATCGGTCCGCCCCGATGGGCCCGTTCATGTGTGGTGCCCCTGGGGAGGAGAGAGATTCTGTGCTCGGGGTACCGGAACTAGAAACAGTCTGCCGCTGCCCGTTGCCTGGTCTACCCAGCCCCAATAGCCCAGTGACTCCACTCCAGGGTTTTAGGGAGGTGCTTCAGGACGCCCCCAAACCCTGACATCCCTAGCTTCTTGGTATAACTAAGTGTCTATATGAATGAGAACATGGGGGCTGGAGCGATGATAGCACAGCGGGTAGGGCATTTGTCTTGCACACGGCCGACCCAGGTTCGATTCCCAGCATCCCTTATGGTCCCCCGAGCACCGCCAGGAGAGATTCCTGAGTGCATGAGCCAGAAGTAACCCCTGAGCATCCCCGGGTGTGACCGAAAAGGTGGGGGAAAAAAAAAGAGAACAATGGGGGGGTTGGTTTTGTTTGTTTGGGGGCCACCCCCAGCAGTGCTCTGGGCTTACTCCTGGCTCTGTGTTCAGAGGTCACCCCTCCACGTGGGGAGCTGGGATCCAACCCAGGTAGGGAGCGGACACGAGCGAGGCAAGCTCCCTTCCGGATTTATCATCTCTTCCCCAGCCAGCCCTGGAAATAACTGTGACCCAGGAGCCTCAGGCTTCAAGCTCCACCTCCCTGAAGGCCACCCACCCTCCCCGGAAGTGGGGTTCTTTACTTTTTTACGTTATTTTTGGAGGGGGAGGGCATGCCCAACAATACTCCGGATTTACTCCTGGCTCTGCACTCAGGAATTGCTCCTGGTGGTGCGTGGGGGACGGAACCTGGGTCGGCTGCGTGCAAGGCCAGTGCCCGAACCCTGCACTATAGCTCTGGCCTGCAGAAGCATTGGGATTACTTGTGGGCACACGAAGACTCTGGGACGAGCTGCGTGCGGGGCACATTGTACAGATAGGAAGCGACTCAGGTTCCTCAGCCCTGAGCCAAGAGCTTTTTACCTTTTTTTTTTTTTGCTTTTTGGGTCACACCCGGCGATGCTCAGAGGTTACTCCTGGCTCATGCACTCAGGAATTGCTCCTGGCGGTGCTCAGGGGACCATATGGGATGCTGGGAATCGAACCTGTGTCGGTCATGTTGGCTGCGTGCAAGGCAAACGCCCTACCCGCTGTGCTATCACTCCAGCCCCAAGAGCTTTATTCTTTTGCTTTTTGCTTTTTGGGTCGCACCCAGCAAGGCTCCAGGGTTACTCTTGGCTCTGCGCTCAGGAATGACTCCTGGCAGAGCTCGGGGGACCATATGGGATGCTGGGAATTAAACCCGGTCGGCTGCGTGCAAGGCAAACTCCCTCCCCGCTGTGCTATAGCTCCAGCCCCAAGCCAAGAGCTTTATACTTTTTTTTGGGGGAGGGGGGGTGTTGTTTGTTTGGCCACAACTGGCGATGCTCAGGGCTTACTCCTGGATGGGCACCCGGGAATCACTCCTGGTGGTGCCCAGGGGACCCAATGGATGCTGGAAATCGGACTCAGATTGGCCGTGTGCAAGGCCAGCACCTCCCTGCTGTGAGCCAAGGGCTTTTGTTTTTCTTCTTTGGAGCAGAATTCTCCCAGGCTCTTTTTTTTTATTTTTTGGATCACACCCGGCGTTGCACTCAGGAATTACTCGTGGAGGTGCTCGGGGGACCCTATGGGATGCTGGGAATCGAACCCCGATCGTCTGCGTGCAAGGCAAACGCCCTCCCCGCTGTGCTATCGCTCTGGCCCCTCTTCCAGGGCTCTTAAGGGAAGGCAGCATGTCTTCGCTTCCATGCTTGCCTCTGACTGCCTGGGCCCCTCCTTCCTGCCTAGGCTTCCTCCGGCCCTAGTGCGTGTTGCTCTCTATCCCCGTATGGTGACGGGTTCCTGGCTGAGGTGGCCGCTTTGGCGGTGGGCTGGGTCCCAAGGACACAAGGAGCTGCCATCTACTCTGCTGGACTGACTGCTGACTGGCCATCTGTCCCTCCCTCCCTCCCTCCAGAATTCCATCCGCCACAACCTTTCTCTCCACGACATGTTTGTCCGGGAAACGTCCGGCAATGGCAAAGTCTCCTTCTGGACCATTCACCCCAGCGCCAACCGCTACTTGACGCTGGACCAGGTGTTCAAGGTGAGCCCTGTTTCGTGTGGAGGGGCCCAGGCTGGATGCTGTCCCCTCCCCTTCAGAAGGACAACCGTGCCCCCGGGGAGTTCCTGTGCCTCCAAGGTTGGGTTAGATGCCAGCGGCCCCTTTGTGCCCTGATGCCACTCACTGAGTGGCTTCTGGCGGACAAAGACCATGGGACACGTGGTGGGCCAGGCCAGACCAGGAGAGGACAGCTCCGACCCAGATCAGGCAATGTTCAGTGTGTCACTGTCCCCCCCGCCCCACACCTGCCAGGGCCCTTGTCCAAGTATAGTTTCCTCAGGCCCAGAGCGAGAGAACAGTGGGGAGGGCACTTATCTTGCACGTGGCTGAATACCAGAGATCGAACCCGGGTCAGCGGCTGGTTCCTGAGCACTGCTTGGACAGCTAATACAAAACCAAAGCAAAGGGGGCCAAAGGGATAGCACAGCCAGTAGGGCTTTGCATGTGGCTGACCCAGGTTCAATCCTCGGCATCCCATAAGGTCCCCCCAAGCCCCACCAGAAGTGATTCCTGAGTGCAGATTCCAGGAGTCAGCCCTCAGCATTGCCAGGGGTGGCCCAAAACACAACAAACACACGCATACAGCTTCCCAGGCCCCTTTTGGAGTCCCTCATTGTCCGGGGCTGGAATGAGCACATCATGGGTGATCCTTAAACCTTGCTTTGGGGCCAGAGAGATAGCACAGTGGGTAGGGCACTTGCCTTGCAAGCAGCCAACCTAGGTTCAGTCCCCAGCATCCCATATGGTCTCCTGAGCACCGCCAGGAATGATTCCTGAGTGTTGAATGCTCAGAGACACCCCTGAGCATTGCCAGCTGTGGCCCCCAAAACCAACCCACCAACGGACCAAAAAACCACCACCTTGCTTTAGGCTGGAGCCCAGAGAACAGCCCCACAACAGCTTTCCAGGCAGAAGCAAATGTTAGGTGATTTCGGGGCACCCTCACGCCCCTCCCAAGACTGAACACACCCCTTAACTCCGGGAGGGGCGGGCGGGCGCACAGGGTGGTCCTCAGCCTCCGTCAGGACTAGCTGTTTTTTTTCCCCCCATCTGCCGAGACCGACCACGCTGGTGGTTAACTTTATCTCATTTCTCTCCCCCAATGCCTGACCACCACCAGCCACTGGACCCAGGGTCTCCACAATCGCCCGAGCACTTGCAATCAGTAAGACTCTTTCCTCTGGCTGGGGCCTGGCCTCGCTTTCCCTTCTCCGCTCGGCATGGCTTAGTGGACAGGGACAAGGCGGGGGAAGGGCACGGCCAGTGGCCAGTGGCCTCCTCCTCCCCCCCCCAGGAGTTGGGGCTCAGGCCCACTTCTCTGGGCTGGCGGGGGTGGGGGGGCAGAATCCCCACGCCACCCCCAGACGAGGCCAAGGTGAGAGGTGAGCGGAGCAGAGCCAGGCAGAGGGGCCAGGCGGCACCAAGGACGAGGGCATGACTGAGGCCTTGCTGGCTGGCTGGCAGTTCTGCTCCGTAGCTCCCTGGCCTTCCTTTGCGTCTGCTGGCTTGAGTATCCCCCAGTGGGAGAGGGGAGAGGGGCTTGGGGGGTGGAGGGGGTGTTGAGGACACATCCGGAGGAAGCGGCCCACCGTCTAGTCACCGAGGACTAACCGAGGCTTGGAAACGGTCATGCTGCCCCCCACCCCACTCCACCCCACCCCCGCCGTGCACGCCCCCCCACTGGCTCTTGTCTTCCTGCCCGGGTGAGTGGTTAGCTCCAAGCAGCACCAGAGCAGCGGGTGGGATTCTTCGCCCACCCCCCTCTGGCTCCGTTAACCCCAGGCTTCTCTCTCTCCCCTCTCTGCCACGAGCAGCAGCAGAAGCGACCCCACGCCGAGCTCCACCGGAACGTGGCCATTAGAACCGAACTCCCCCTGGGCACACGTTAGTATGGGGGCACGGGGCCTCAGGCCGGGCCCCAAGCTCTGGGGGCGCCGCCAACTCGGGGGCTCCAGGTCCCGGCCCAGAGCAGGACAGCCGAGCTCGGGGAGGGGGGGGGGGGAGGTAGGGCGTTTTGCCTTGCACACGGCCGACCCGGGTTCGATTCCCCACATCCCATTTGGTCCCCTGAGCACCGCCAGGAGTAATTCCTGAGTGCATGAGCCAGGAGGAACCCCTGTGCGTTGCTGGGTGTGAGAGAGGGGTTCGACCCCGACGCCCTGCTGCTGATCTCTCCTGTTCCCCCGCAGGGCGGAAGATGAAGCCACTGCTGCCGCGGGTCAGCTCCTACCTGGTGCCCATCCAGTTCCCCGTGAGCCAGTCACTGGTGCTGCAGCCCTCGGTAAAGGTGCCGATGCCCCTAGCCGCGTCCCTCATGAGCTCAGAGCTTGCCCGCCACGGCAAGCGAGTCCGAATCGCCCCCAAGGTGAGTGGCTTCCACGGTTCTCTGCGGAGGGATGCCAGGCGGTGACACGCTGAGCTGGAGAGCACCTAGGGAGGTGTTCTCGGAAGCCTAGTGGGAGAGATCAGGCAGAAGGAAGGGCAGGGTCATAACGGGCTTCTCCGTCTTCGGGAGCAACTTAGGGGACCGTGCAAACGCTGTCAGGAGCCAGAGAGATAGCCCAGTGGGGAAGGCGCTTGCCTGGCAGGCGGTCGACCCCGGGTTCAATCTCCAGCACCCCAGACGGTCCCATGAGCCTCGCTAGGAATGATCCTTGAGTGCAGAGACAGAAATAAGCCCTGAGCACTGATGGGTGTGTGCCCTACCCCACCCCACAAAAAAAGGGGGGGGCTGGAGCGATAGCACAGCAGGTAGGGCGTTTTGCCTTGCACACGGCCGACCCGGGTTCGATTCCCCACATCCCATTTGGTCCCCTGAGCACCGCCAGGAGTAATTCCTGAGTGCATGAGCCAGGAGGAACCCCTGTGCGTTGCTGGGTGTGACTCCCCCCCCCAAAAAAAAAAGCACTGTCTTCCCGTTGTTCATTGATTTGCTCGAGCGGGCACCAGTAACGTCTCACAACAAATTGTGAGACTTGTTACTGTTTTTGGCATATCGAATACATCACGGGTAGCTTGCCGGGCTTTGCCGTGCGGGCGAGATACTCTCAGTAGTTGCCGGGCTCTCCTAAGAGGGGCAGAGGAATCGAAGCCAGGTCGGCTGCATGCAAGGCAAACACCCTATCCGCTGTGCTATTCAAAAAAAAAAAAAACATGAAGGAAGCCTTTACATATCCAAAATGAGTTGGTAAAACTTCAGTTGAGGTGATTGGGAATGGGCTGGAGTGGCTAAGAATTCGGAAGTGCTGACTTGAGAGGGAGGTGTCCAGGATCAATCCCCCACCCCGCCTGGTTCCCACCAGTCCCACCAGGAGTGACTCGTAAGCACCTCTGGGTATAACCAAACATCAAAAAAGAAAGTTCACAAGTGAAATAGATATTAAACAGAAGCAGACTGAGAGGCTAGAGAGACCATACAGTGGGTGCTTGCCTTGCATGCAGCTGACCTGAATTCTATACCCGGGACCCCATATGGTCCCTGAAGCCTGCAAGGAGTAAGCCCTGAGTACTGCTGTGTGTCGCCCAAAAGCCAATAAATAAATGAACAGAAGTAGATTTGGGGAAGCAACAGAAGTGGAGATGAGCCCTTTCTGCTCCCCAACTGTGTGAGAATTTAGTCCATTTTCTTCCATGTTTTATCCATGCTTAGTGTTATATAGCCACAGCTGTTACGTGTACACATGTGTGTGTGTACACACACACACACACACACACACACACACACACACACACATACTCCCCCCATTTTAAACGTACATACACAATGCTGTTGTATCCAGAAATACCAGAGTGAATGAGAGTCCGAATGAGTCAGACTCAACTCAACTTCAGCATCACTGACATTTAGGGACTAGATAATTCTTTGTCGTTCCCAAGAGGGCCACTCCTGTTGGTACCCAGGGGACCGCATGATGGCAGGAACGAACCCTGGTCCTCCTCCAGGCAGAGCATGCGCGCCAATCCCGTGAGCTCGCTCCCCAGCCTTGGGGGGAGACTAGGGCCAGCTCCAGGGGCAGTGCTCAGGATTGAACCCAACTCTCAGTTTGCCAAGTCTAGCCTTTTCGACCGTCTCTGCAGTTCCACTGGTCCCCACTAGGAACATTTTGTTTCTAGGGTTGATTTTGGATTCCTTGTTTTTTTTTTTTTTTTCTTTTCCTGCCCTTATTCAGCAATTTTACAATTAAAAAGTATTTGTTTGTTTGTTTTTGGACACATCTGGCAGTGCCCAGGGGTTACTCCTGCCTCTGCACTCAGGGATCACTCCTGGCGGGGCTCAGGGGACCATATGGGGTACTGAGGATCAAACCTGGGTCAGCTGGGTATGCCCTGAGCACTACATGGGGCTCTAACACAAAACAAAACCCAATGGGGCTGAAGAGATAGCATAGCCAGGAGGGCTGCCTTGCATGTGGCTGACCCAGGTTCAATCCCTGGCATCCCATATGGTCCCCCAAGTCGCGCCAGGAGTGAGTCCTAAGCACAGAGCCAGGAATGATCCCAGAGCATTGCCAGACGTGGCCCCACCAAAACAAACAAAAACCCCAGCTCTAGTAATATTAATTTCCACCAACAGCTTTTTAAAAACCACTGATCTCTTTTTTGCGGGGGGAAGGGAGGGGTTAGGGGGTGCTCAGAGGCTATTCCGTGCTCTGTGCTGAGGAGTGACCCCTGGCGGTGCTTGGGGGACCTTATGTGATGCCACAGTTGCAAGGCAAGCAACTTAAGCCCGGTACTACCCCTTCCAGCCCCATCAGCACCTGTCTTTACCAGAAATTGTTCATCTTTTAAGCACTGGCCCAAGTACTGTTTGTTAAACATCTCTGTGGCATATTTTAATCTTCCTTGGCTTATGAGTAGGTTTGAGCACCTTCGCATTGTTTGTTTCCAGTAAGATGCTTAGTAATCGACACTGCCCATTTTCTACAGGGTTTTGTTCATCTGTCAGAGTTCTTCCTCTGTCAATTAAATACTTTTTTTTAATACTGAAACGGAGCTTTTGGGGAGGTGGGGGGCGTTTCTATTGTTTCTTTACCTTGTTTATGGTTATCTCATGCCACGGTAACATTTGGAATTTTGATAGTCAAATATGTCTCTCTTCTCTTTTATAGCTTCTGGGTTTCCAGTGTTGGTTAAGAAGGTCACCCCTACCCTCAGATTGTACACATAGTCTCCTAGATTCTCTGTCAGGATTTGTATGGGCCTGGTTTTCTTTCTGTTTACGTTTTTCTCTGATACACTCAGTATTATTACATTATATATATTATTTTATTTATTTATTTTTGCTTTTTGGGTCACACCCAGCGATGCACAGGGGTTACACCTGGCTTTGCACTCAGGAATTACCCCTGGTGGTGCTCGGGGAACCATATGGGATGCTGGGAATTGAACCCGGGTCAGCCGCGTGCAAGGCAAACGCACTACCTGCTGTGCTATCCCTCCAGCCCCCTACATTATATATATTATTACATATTATATTATAGTAATATTATATGTTACAATTATGTATTATTATATTGTATATATTATATGTTATGGGCTGGAGCGACAGCACAGCAGGTAGAGCATTTGCCTTACACGCAGCTGACCCAGGTTCGATTCCTCTGCCCCTCTTGGAGAGCCCGGTAAGCTACCGAGAGTATCCTGCCCACGTGGCAAAACCTGGCAAGTTATCCGTGGTGTATTCGATATGCCAAAAACAGTACAAGTCTCACAATGGAGACGTTACTGGTGCCCGCTCGAGCAAATCGATGAACAACAAGAGGACAGTGCTACAGTGCTACTATATATTATATATTATAATATTATATTAATATCCATCTCCCAGGTGGATACTTATTCTGCCAACACCATGTTCAGTACTGTCTGCCCCAACCCTTCACTCTCACACCCCAAAACTAAACTCTCACCTTCTCAGACATTTGTAGGGTTCATCATTTTTCCAATCTCTATTTTTAGAGATTAGAAAAGGGGAAAGGGGCCGGAGCCATAGTCCAGCAGGGAGGGCCCTTGCAAGAGGTAGACCCGGGTTGGATTCCCGGCATCCCATAGGGTTCCCGGAGCACCGCCAGAAGTTACTCCTGAGCGCAGAGCCAGGAGGGACCCCTGAGCATCCCCGGGTGTGGATCAAAATGAATAAAAAGAGAAGTGGGGGGCGGGGGGGGGGGGAAGGATCGGCCTGTTTCTTCCTCGGCCCATCCCCCCTACCCGCCTTGTGTCCCGCTGGTGACGGGGAGCCGAGCCAGGGTCGGGGGCTCCCCTCACCATCCCCGCCGCTTACCTTGCAGGTGCTGCTGGCGGAGGAGGGCATCAGCCCGCTGCCCACCACGGGGACCGGGCCCACGGAGAGGGCACCCCTGCCCGTCAAGGAGGAGGCTGTGGAGTGGCCCCTGCCCGGAGGGGCACGCCCGGCGCAGAGCCCCCCGCTGCCTGTCAAGGAGGAGGCCGTGGAGTGGCCCCTGCTCGGGGGGTCGCACCCGGCGCAGAGCCCCCCGCTGCCCGTCAAGGAGGAGGCCGTGGAGTGGCCCCTGTCTGGGGGGCCGCACCCGGCGCCGAGCCCCCCGCTGGCGGAGTGGCCCTCGCCCAGCCCCTCCGTCAAGGAGGAGGCGTCGTGCTCCTGGGAGGACTCGTCCCACTCGCCCACCCCGACCCCCCAGGGGCCCTCCAGCGCGCCCCGGTCCCCCGCGCGGCGCGTCTCGGAGATGCTGGTCATCAAGCGTCGGGAGCAGCGGGACCGCAGCCGCTCGCGCCGCAAGCAGCGCCTGCAGCCGCCCCCCGCGCCCGAACCCGAAACGCTCAGCCCCCTGCAGCCCCCCGCGTCCTCCACGCCCAGCAAGGCCGCCTGGAGGCTCACCCCGCCTGGAGCCGCCGCGGGGCTGGACTTCAGCCCGGTGAGGACCCCGCGGCCCGATGCCCTGGGCCTGCCCGAGCTCAGCACCACCCCGCTCGGGAGCGGCCCCCTCTTCGACTCCCCCAGGGACCTGCTCCATCCCGAGCCCTTCGACCTCGCCGCTGACCCCTTCAGCGGCTGCTACTCTCCCTCCGACGTGGAAGTCCCCAAGGCCGGCTCCCCCGAGCCCCAGGACTCGGGCCTCTCGGCCAACAGGTCCCTGACCGAGGGCCTGGTGTTGGACACCATGAACGACAGCCTCAGCAAGATCCTGCTGGACATCAGCTTCCCCGGCCTGGAGGAGGACCCGCTGGGCCCCGACGGCATCAACTGGGCCCAGCTCCTCCCGGAGCTGCGCTAGAGGCCGGGCCTCGCTCCCCCCTCCCGACCCCCAGCACTTTTGGGGCGCCCCTGTGGCCTCCGAGTGAGGCCCTGCCAGGCTCCTCCAGCCCTCAGCTCTGCCTACCGGACCACAAGCTCCTGCTGTCCATCCCAGCTACCAGCACCCAGACACCCTGGGGCCGGCACCCTGCCTGGCCAGTTCAGGCTGAGAGACTCGCCCCTCTCCCAGATGTTTGCCTTTCTCTGCTCCTTTCCGGGGCAGCCCTTGTATCCGTCATGTTTATTTGCCAAATGACCCTCGAGTTATAAACGTAAGCTGCTTCACTCAGATCATTACGGAGAGGCCCCCAGAAAGCCGCCAGGGCTCAGCGGCTCATCCTCACTTCCCGCTGGAGAAAGGCAAGAACCCAGAGCACTGCACGGTTTCTTGGGGAGGGGCCCCCGAGGCGCCTGGCACTCGGCGTTACCATGGCCCAGCACCCAGCCCATGTGCCCCTCGCTGCCCGTCCCCTCCCTGCCCGCCACCCTTTTCCAAGTTAGCTTCTCCAGGAGAGCTCCTGGCCAGCAGATCGAGGTTGAGTTGGGGGCAGGGGAACATGTGTCAGAAACACAGGGTGGAGAGAGCCCTGATGTGCGCCCGGGAGACAGTTCTGATAATGTTCCTGAATCATGCCAGAGACACCAGCTCGGAGCAGAGGCAGCGGGTCCTGGCTGACCCACGGCCTGCCCGCTGCTGCCCACCTCCTGCCGGGCAGCTGGAGAACACTAACCCCTCCTCAATAAAAGCCAGGGTGGGAACGCTGGAACGCTGTGTTGGTGTCTGGTCCCTGTGGCAGGCCGGAGTGATGGAGGGGGCTGGTGACAGGGGAGAAGCCAGCACGGAGACCCCTGACGCTCAGAAGACCCAGTGACAGACCCGCACGGGGCTCACCCAGCAGTGCTCAGGGCTCACTCCTTGCTCTTCACTCGGGTGGTGTTGGGGGTTCCAGAGATCAAACCCAAGTGAGCTGCATGCAAGGCAAATGCCCTGCCTGCTATACTGTCACTCTTCCCCGTTTTGGGGGGGCAGGGGGGTCACACCAAGCGATGCTCAGGGGTTACTCCTGGCTCTGCACTCAGGAATGACTCCTGGCGGTGCTCGGGGAACCTTATGGGATGCTGGGAATCGAACCTGGGTCGGCCGCATGCAAGGCAAATGCCCTACCCGCTGTGCTATTGCTCCAGCCCCTTCTTTTTTTTTTTTTTTTTTTTTTAATTTTTTTGCAGTGCAGAGGCTCAAACCTGGGGCCTCACATACAGACCACGGGGTGTAGCTCAGTGGTAGAACACCTTGGTTTTGGGGGTCACACCCCGCAGTGCTCAGGGTTTAAGTCCTGACTCTCTGCTCCCGGCATGGCCCGGGAGACCATCTGGGATGCCAGGGATTGAACCTGGATTGGCTACGTGCCAGGCAAGCTCCCTGCCCACTGGACCATCGTTTTGTTTGGGGCCACCCTGCTGCTCAGTGCCACCCCTGGCTGGGTGCTGCGGTCCCAGTACCACGGCAGCCCTTCCTGCCGTCTCACACCTCCTGACGCAAACTGCCAGTATCTGGCTCTGTCCAGCCCGGCTCTGGTTTGGGCCTCGGAGCCAAAAGGTGAATCCAGAGCCCCTCCCTCGCCAGAAAGGTACCTGAGGGCGCCCAGCACAAGCCCACTGCTCTCTTTAACCCCTCCCCACCTCCCAAGGCAAGTCCCTTGAAGCAGCTCTTGTGACCATCTTCTGGTTAGCACCTGTGAGGGATGGGAGGACGCTGGGGCTTGAACTCAGGGTCTTACGCCCCGCAACGCTGTGCACCGCCCCAGAGCGAGATGGAATTTAGCCATTCTACCCCTGTCTGTCTGACCCGAGGCGGGGCCTCCACAGAGGGAAGGGCCTCCCCCCCAGCCACTCCCGCTGACACATCACCATGGTGACCCCAGCAGCAAACAATGCTGCCTGCAAGTCTTCCCTCAGTAGCTGCCCAGACAGGTGCGGGAGAGGCGGAAAAAATGGCCAGTACCCAGCAAAGACCCCACTTCGGGCGGAAGAACACCTCCCCCTTCCCAGAACCTTTCCTGCAGGTAGGCTCAGGGCCCTGTCCACAGCCCCGCTGGGCTCTGCTGGCCCTCTCCGGGTGGGCCGGATGGTCCACCCTTCCAAGAAGGGACCCGTCTGAGAAGGGACTCAGCTCAGCACCAGGGTGGCATTGCCGCCCCCTAACCTGGGCTCCCAGACCCACCCGGAGCTGGTGGGGTTCCAGTGCCTTAGGGAAGCGATGGGGTTTGGGGGTCAGAAAGGCCCCGGACCTAGGGCCGGAGCGACAGCACAGAGGAGAGGGTGTTCGCCTCTCATGCTGCCGACCAGGGTTCGATCCCTGACATCCCAAATGGTCCCCCCCGCCCCCACACCAAGTACCACCAGGAGTAATTCCCGGGGAAACCCTGCACACCCTCTGGGGTGGCCCATAAAATAACAACGAGAAGTCCTAGGGTGCTGCTTCAGAGGGCTGGAGCATGGGGCCCCAGGTTCGATCCCCTTCACCACATGGTCTCCCAGCAATGACGTCTCCAGCAATGACGGCCAAATGCTTGGGGTCCGACCCTGCCACTGACCCACTCGACACCCAGGCCGGGGGCCCTCCCAGCTCTGGCTGATCTGAAGCACCTTTGCGGGGGGCCATCTCCTACCGTGGTGAGGTGCAGCTTCTGTCGGCAGTGTGAGGCTCGTCCATGCTGGCCACGGCAGCGAGCTGTCCAGGGTCCCGCTGACCTGCAGGGAAGGGAAGGGGTCAGCATTCCACAAGCTCCGGGACTCTCGCACTGGGCAAGATCGTGGGCACAGGCAGTGGTTGAGCCGCAGGGGGGCATCAGGCCCCAGCAGTGTGGGGTGGTGGGTAAGACAGACCCTGCTGGAGCCCATCCCTGGCCTGCCTTGCTGGTGTTTTCATGGCCGGGAAGGACACCCAGCCAGGACAGAGAGGGGAGTCCCAGGAGGCGGTGGGGGAGGGGAGGGACTGGCCTCTGGGCTGTTTCCACCCACTTGGCTCCAACCTGGGCAGGAATGGAGGGGGTGATGGGACATGGGGGGTGTTAGGGTGATGGGACAGGCTGGAAGAGGGTGAGGGACCAGGCCATGTGTCCAGAGAGGGCCGCCGCTGGCCTTCCCTGGGGCTACTTTCCCATCCAACCCGACTCTTTTTCATGTATTTATTTATTTGGGCTGGAGCGATAGCACAGCAGTAGGGCGTTTGCCTTGCATGCGGCCAGCCTGACTGAGCTGGGTTTGATTCCTCCGCCCCTCTCAGAGAGCCCGGCAAGCTACTGAGAGTATCTCGTCCGCACGGCAAAGCCTGGCAAGCTCCCCGTGACGTATTCGATATGCCAAACACAGTAACAAGTCTCATGATGGAGAAATTACAGGGCCCGCTTGAGCAAATCAATGAACAACGGGAGGACAGTGCTACAGTGCTATTTATTTATTTATCTTTGCTTTTTGGGTCACATCCAGTGATGCTCGGGGCTTCCTCCTGGCTCATGCACTCAGGAATGACTCCTGGCGGTGCTCGAGGGACCCTTTGGGATGCTGGGAATCAAACCCAGGTCGGCCGCATGCAAGGCAAACGCCCTACCTGCTGTGCTATTGCTCCAGCCCCCGCCCCATTTATTTTTTATTTGGGGGCCACACCTGGCAGGGTGAGGTGGGAGATCTTTACGGGGTGCCAGAGTTGAATCTGGCTCGGCGACATGCAGGGAAAGCACCTCGCCGGCTGCGTGCACAGTGACTCCAGCGCCCAGCTTTCTGACAACAGAAACTGGGGACCACACTGAGGAAGTGGCCAGGGGCCACGCGCGGCAGTTCCAGGGATGAAACCCAAACGTGCGCCACCTGCATGCCAGGCCTGTGGCCCCAGGGCTCTGGACTGCGTGTCCGACCCAGACGCGCCTCTTCCACGTGGCACTGGGACCGGGGCCCACGGGCGCCTGCAAAACCAGGCGTGTGCTCTGCCACTCAACCCTCACCCCCCAGCTCCCCCTCTCCTTCCGGTCTCTCCCTAGATGATCCATGCCCCGGAGTGCACCCCGACTCCTGCCCACACGTGGTCTCAGCGGGAGTTCCTCCTGCCCCACAGGCCCGTCGAGTTGCCTGGCTTCAACTGGCAGCACTACCAAGAGGCGCTGCTGAAGCCCCTGTCGGCCGTGGACAGGAGGGCGCAGGTGCACCGCCGAGGGCTGGCGCCTCACAAGGACATGACCCAGCACACCTGGGGCTTCCACACGTGGCAGGATGTGGGCCAGCTGCCGGCCGCCTTCCCCGCCAGGCCCAACATCCACTATGACAGCAACATCTGGCGTTGGCTCACCAACGCCAGTGCCCACCGCCAGGCCCCCACCGAGACCTCCGTGCCCCCTCCCTCCCGCTTGGGGGCCCACAGCTTCCTCACCTTCATCTACTGCAACCCCATCTTCCGGGACACGAAGAGGAAGAAGCAGGTGATCGCCAAGACCCAGACGATGCTGCAACAGGGGCAGAAGCTCCAACTGAGGAGCGAGGCCAGGGTCCCGCCGCTGGACGCCAAGGGCAACATCCTGGCCCCCAAGAACTTCAAGAAGTAAGAGGAGCTTCTGGTTCCGGGCACCCCCCCCCCCCCACTCATCCCCCAGTCACATGTGGACTCGCTGTTCGGCTTCCTCAGACGTCCGGCACCCCTGCCCGCTTAACAATCTGTTTTCCAAAGGTGTTGGGCTGCAGAGAAAGAGAGAGAGAGAGAGAGAGAGAGAGAGACAGAGAGACAGAGAGACAGAGAGACAGAGAGACAGAGACAGAGAGAGACAGAGAGACAGAGAAAGAGAGAGAAACAGAGAGAGAGAAAGAGAGTACAAGGGGTAAGGTGCTTGCCTTGCATCCTGCCGACCTGGTTCAAATCCCCGGGCACTGTGTAGGGCCCCTGATCACAGCCCAGGCTCACGTCTGAGCACAGAGCCCGGAGCAGCCCTCTGAGCCCTGCTGGGTGTGGACCAAACGCCTGGTCCCATCCTGTCAGTGTGGCTGGATAGAAGGAGAGGCGGTCACCTGAGTCACCTGGGGACAGCCCAGGAAGGACTGCAGTGGGTAATGCAGAGCTGGGGGGCACAGAGTTCCCTCCCGCCTGCGGGCAGACACGGCCACAGACACGGGCTCAAAGCTCCGTGCCAAATAATAATAATAACAACCACACATGCTAAGAGTCAGTGATTTTCTTTCCAGACCCGCTCTCTCTGAACTCGCGCTCTCTAGTTGACCCTGACCCGCAGGAGGCAGGATCAGTTTTTGGGCCACCCGGAGCTGGGCTGGGGTAGATTACTCCTGGCTCTGCAGGAAAAGAAAAAAGAGGGGGAAAAAAAAGTTGGTGATTTTGAGAGACTTATCCCGGACTTGACTTCTCTCTGCTATACAGGAAGGAAGATTACAGATTGTGGCTATGTGCTTTCCAAAAGTCAATGGGAATCACTCCTGGAAAAAATAAACAAGGGGCTTGAGCGATAGCACAGTGGGGAGGGCGTTTGCCTTGCTTGCGGCTGACCTGGGTTCGACTCCCAGCATCCCATAGGGTCCCCTGAACACCACCAGGAGTAATTCCTGAGTGCATGAGCCAGGAATAACCCCTGAGCACTGCCAGGTGTGACCCAAAAATAATAATAATAATAATAACAAAAACAACGATAATAATAATAATAAAATAAAGAAAACCTCCTAGGGGCCAGAGAGAAAGCACAGGGGTTAATGTGCTTTCCTTGCATGCCAGGAGCATTGTAGGAAGTGAACCCCCAAACCAGAGCTGGGAGTAGGTCCTGGCACTGAGCAGATACCCCTGAGCAGACTCAGCACCCCCCACCTGCCCCGACACACAATCCCCGCAAACACCAGGTGTGGTTCAACATGCCCCCTGCCAAACAAAATGAAAAGTTTAATTGTTTTTTGCATGCATGAAGTGCTGGGCTCAAACATAAAAGAGAGGGTGAGAGAGAGAGAGAGAGAGAGAGAGAGAGAGAAAGAGAGAGAGAGAGAGAGAGAACAGCAGGTAGGGTGCTTGCCTTGCACACAGCCCAGCCAGGTTCAACCCCCAGCATCCTACCCAGTCCCCCGAGCACCATTTGGGAGTATTCCTGAGCACAGAGCCCGGAGAAACCCCTGAGCATTGCCAGCCATGGCCCCAAAACACATACTACAAAAGAAAAAAGAGAAAAGAATTTTTCCTTAAAAGCTCATCCCTGGGGCTGGAGTGATAGCACAGTGGGTAGGGTGTTTGCCTTGAACGCGGCCCGACCCGGGTTCGATTCCCAGCATCCCATAGGGTCCCCCGAGCACCACCAGGAGTAATTTCTGAGAGCATGAGCTAGGAGTAACCCCTGAGCACTGCCAGGTGTGACCCAAAAAGAAAAAAAAAATGCTCATCCGTGGGCCAAGAGAGTGCTTAAAGGTCTGAGGGCCCAGGGCTTATCTCCAGCACCGTGCATGGTCCCCGAGCACTGCCAGGAGCCACTTCTGAGCTCAGAGCTGGAAGAAGCTCCCAAGTACCACCAGGTGTGGCCCCCAAACACAATCACAATGATCAAAGTTGCTCAGCACCGTTTCTGGCAGATGGTACGTCGGGGTCTGGAGGGACAAGCCCGTGCCCCTGACGGAAGCAGACCAGGCTGGGTCTAGCTGCTCCACACACGTGCAATCTGAGCCTTCATTCCTCCAAGCCTCTCCCTCTTCAGCCCAGGCAGGTTCCTGAGAGCCCAGTGGCTGTTAGGAAACTGCTCAGGCACAAAGCCCAGTACACCTAGAGGGGCTTCAAGAAGAGGGTCTTGGGGCTGAAGCAATTGTGCAGCGGGGAGGGCGTTTGCCTTGCACGAGGCCGACCCAGGTTCGATTCCCAGCATCCCATAGGGTCCCCCTGAGCACCATCAGGGGGTAATTCCTGACTGCAGAGCCAGGAGTAGCCCCTGTGCATCGCTGGGTGTGACCCGAAAAGAAAAAAATTAAAAAAGGGTCCTGGAGAGGAGAGGGCAGAGTGATAGTACAGAGTGATGGCACAGTAGGCAGGGCACTTGCCTTGCACGTAGCCGGCCTGGGTTTGATCCCTAGCATCCCATAGTGTCCCCTGTGCATTACCAGGAGTGATTCTTGAGTGCAGAGCCTCATCCCTGAGCACTGCCAGGTGTGGCTCAAAAGCCCAAAAACAAGGAAGAGGAAGAGGAGGAATAGGGAGAGGAGAAGGGTGGTCCTGGGGCCCTGGAAGATAGCACAATGGGAGGGCACTTGCCTTACATGTGGCCCACCCCGGTTCTATCCCAGGCAACACATATGGTCCCCTGAGTTCCATCAGTAGCTATCCCAGAGTGCAGAGCCAAGAGTAAGCCCCGAGCACCGACGGGAGTGGGGGAAAGGAGAGAAGGAGGAAGAGGAGGAGAAAGAAATAAAGAGGAAGACGAAGGTTCTTACGGGTGGGTTTGCTGCTGAAGCATGAACAAAGGGCCGAGTCTCGGATACGGTTTACACAGAGGAAGTGGGATTCGAGCTGGAATCCTGAAGAACATGTCAGGATCCCCAGGTGGGAACGGGAGATGCTACAATGGGCAGGGCACTTGCCTTGCAGGTGGCCATACTAGGTTCAATCCCCACCACATATGGTCCTCTGAACCCTGCCAGGAGAGATTCCTGAGCACAGAGCCAGGAGTAAGCCCTGAGCACAGCTGGGTGTGCCCCTCCCCTGCCCCCGACAAATTAAAAAGCAAAACACCAAAATAAGCAAAACCACTAAGAAATTCCAGTTTGATCCGTGGTGGTGGGAAATGGGCACTGGTGGAGGGATGGGTATTTGATCATTGTATAATTGAAACCCAAGCACAAAAATTTGTAAGTCTACACCTGTACCTCATGATGTCTCACTAATAAAAATTAAAAAAAAAAAAAGAAATCCCAGTTTGGACTGGGGCTAGGGCCCGGCGGTAGAGCACGGGCTGGCTTCCTGCCCTGGCACACACCGGCTCCAATGCCCACCCCACCCCCAGCACTGCCAGTTGTAGCCCCCAAGATTCAGCTCAGTTCTCTACTCCAAAACTCAGTGCCTGGGGAAGAGAGAGGGTGTGGGAAGTACCTGGTGAGCGTGAGCGTGAGGGTGGGGCGTCGGGGTCCTTGAGCACCATCTCATTGCCTGGAGATGAGAAGTTGGGTCTTGGGGTACGTGTTAAGTGGAGGAGGTGGGCTGAGAGGTGCAGTGTGGATAGCACTAGAGACTGCAGACCAAAGGGATGGCAGCCAAGCGGGAGCCACAGGTGAGGGGGCTGAAGGGATGAGAAGTGAGGACAGTGACGACGTTTCTATCCACCTCAGTCACCGAGGGAAATAAATGCATGGACTGATAAAAGTTGGCTTTGAGGGGGCCGGAGCGATAGTACAGTGGGGAGGGTGTTTGCCTTTCATGCAGCTGACCTGGGTTCAATCCCTGGCATCCCAGAGGATTCCCCTGAGCACATCCAGGAGTGATTCTTGAGTGCAGAGCTAGGAGTTAGCCCTGAGCATCACCAGGTGTGCCAAAAAAAATAAAAATAAAAATAAAGGCCACCTCGAGGGGCTGGAGTAGTAGCACAGTGGGTAAGGCTTGCACCCGGCCAAACTGGGTTCTATTCCCAGCATCCCATATGGTCCCCTATGCACCGTGTGTGACCCAAAAAGAAAAAAAAAGTCACTTGAAGCCCTTCACAGCATAGGTCTTACATTTCTCCAGCTCCAGTGAATAAGTGCTGGCCTTATACTGTCACTGTCCTCCTGTTGTTCATCGATTTGCTCGAGCGGGCCCAGTAACGTCTCCATTGGAGACTTTGTTGTTACTGTGTCTGGCATATCGAATACGTCATGGGGAGCTTGCCAGGCTCTGCCGTGCGGGCGAGATACTCTCGGTAGCTTGCCGGGCTCTCCGAGAGGGGCGGAGGAATCGAACTCGGGTCGGCCATGTTGGCTGCGTGCAAGGCAAACGCCCTACCGCTGTGCTATTGCTCCAGCCCTAGCACAGCGGTAGGGCGTTTGCCTTGCACGCAGCCAACATGGCATTACACATGTGGGTTCAATTCCCCAGCACTCCATATGACCCCCGAGTTCCACCAGGAGTGACCCCTGAGCACAGAGCCTGGAGTAAGCCCTGAGTACTGTCAGATAAAACCAAACACAAACAAAAAACAAAACAAAACAAAAATGATGGGCATCTGACCATGTAAGATGCATTATTCCAAACTGGGGGACATGCAGTGCCTTTGGGAGCCCCAAGTTCCATCCCCAGCTCTATATAGTCCTGAGTACCACTGGGAATGATACCTCCCCGCCCCCCCAATACCCACACACACAAGCACCAACCAAGCCAGGAGTAGCCACTGAGCATCACTGGCTATGACCTTCACACCATTAACCACCAGTACAACAAAAGATATTTCCCCACACTAATAATAACCCCCCAGAGATCGGTGCATGTGCGCGCGCGCACACACACACACACATATACACACACACACGTGCATGTGTACATACAGAGGCAAGCCACTGAGGTCAGTAGCCATGAGGAGAGGTGGAGGGAGGGTCCCTGATTCCAAAGGTTTGCTAGTTTGGGGACCAGTGTGTGTGTGTGTGTGTGTGTGTGTGTGTGTGTGAGAGAGAGAGAGAGAGAGAGAGAGAGAGAGAGAGAGAGAGAGAGATTGGGCCACACCTTGAGGTGCTCAGGTGTGACCCAGAGCTCAGACTCCTAGCAATGCTCAGGGGACCACATGGGATGTCGGGGATCGAACCCGGATCAGCTGTGTGCAAGGCAAACGCCCTCCCCGTGGTACTATGGCCCCGGCTCCAGGGACCACTCTTTCCCTCCTCATCCTCCCACCTGGATCTCCCCTTTGACCTCTCTCTCCTCTCCACGCCTTTCCTGTGAACAGGTTCCCGCACATCTCAGCTGGTGGAAGGTTCCAGGCCAAGGGCCCCCAGCTCCTGGCCAACCCGCTCCCCAACCTGTTTGCCAGGCGCCTGCCCTGCCCCAACCCGCTGCCTCACTACCAGCAGAAGACCTTCGGGCTGGTCCTGCAGCCCCGCGCCCCCCTGAGCCAGGAGCTGGTGAGCAGATACGTCGCCCTCACGGAGGATAGGCTGGTCTGGCCCCTCTGTCACTCCGTGGGGCCAC